GTCCCTGACCTGGCCTTTTCATTTGTTTTTTTTGCCAAGAGGCAAGTGATCTCTTCCTCCTCCGTTGACGCCATGACTGAAATGGTGAGAAATGAAGGAATTTGTCACGAGTGTAGTAGTACATATACGAGATATATGCATACAATTTTCACGAGTTCCTCATCTTTCTGACTGTGTAATGTCGTGCATTGAATTTTAACAGAAATGCGAACGAGAGACGTTATTATCTTTGACCCATCAAAATGAATGCGGTCATTTATTTTCAGAATCAAAGTTTAACATCAAACATTTACATTAATTTGGCAAAATATGAAAATAATAACAGACAAGTTTCACAGATAATGAGCTTCAATCACGCGGCGGTGATTGAGGACTTTGCTTCAGATATTTCTAAAATATCTGTACTGATTTTATGAGAAAGCAGAGTTTAAGATGAAATGGAGATTTATCTTACAGAGAGATATGTGAGGGAATTAATCTGTTATGACCAGAACGTGCACGCTCCATCAGATCTCAGCTTGCTTCCGGTACACTTTAGTCGAAGAAGAAACTGTTACCTGGTTGACGATGACTCAATGTCGGTATAGAATCCTTCAGACTCTTTCAGCGTCTCCACTGAGAGCAGCTGAAATCCTTCGAGAGTCGTGCGTGGTGTTCAAACAGAAATTATAATTCCAAAACGTCTCTGGATCATCCTGAACGCGTCTGCATCCAAGAGCTCTAACTCCATCACTCTGTGCGCTCTCTAGTTGAACTCATTTCTGAGTACAGCAACACAGCAACCAACAAACTCCAGCAACTCAGCGTCTCAGCTTCTTGCAACTCCTTCAACTCTTTCATCTCCTTAACTCCTACATGAACTGGGAAGTTGCCACATTTTAAATGGGTCGACTTCCAGGTCATTTGAGAGCTTTTGATTGGTCGATGGACCAGGAATAGAGGTGTGGTTTATGATGTAAGATGTTATTAAAAGTCAAGGATTGTTTAGTAACAAACAGAAAGATTATTGTAGGACTTCAGACTTCGTGGAGTCAAACTCTTCTGTATCTTCTGTAAAGAGTTTAAACATGACATTTTTCTCGGTAAACATTTTAGTTGACCGAGAACCGACCTTTAACATACTTACATTCTTGGCTCATTTCAGACAGAAAATCAAGAAATGCATATTAACCTGATTTCTTCTTTAAATGAGGAATAAAAATCATTACTTACTGTTTATGTAAAATAAAAATGAGTAGTTCTCTTCAACCTGTAACATTGAGTGAACTAACAAAATTTGATTATCAAACATTTGTAAAACAGTGATGATCATAGAGAATTGTCTTTTCTGCTTGATTAATTCAAGAAGGAAAGTCACCAGATGGCTCAAACTGTATTCAGATCAATGAAATAACAGTCTCTGTCCATCTGATAGATTTGAGGTCATCAGGGTCAGATCAGGGTCAGATCAGGTTCACTACACGAGCAAATTAAAATCAGGTCCAGCGTGACTGCGGGAAGGTCTGGAAATTTCCTGTTGGGCTGATCTGATGTGTGGGCTGCAGGGCCAGTGCTCCTTGTTTTTTTTTTTTTTTAAGAACTTTTTATTAACAACATATGAACACAGAACACTGCTGCTGCTAGACTGCCAGCTCTTGTTTTGTTTTTCCCAGACCTGTCAATCAATTCAGTAGGTGTGTCAGCAAATGACCAATTGGCGACCTCAATTTGTCCCGAAGGTAAACGCCCCTTGTCTGTGGAGCTGCTCTGCAGCCGCTCAGGGTGTACGCTCGAGTATGAAGTCTGAACCCTCCGCGTCCGTACCCGTGTACCTGCGCACGGACGGACGGACGCGGGAGTATACGGGGGGCTTAATCTGTGAATGAACTAATAAATTAATATATAAGAGAAATAATATATAGTTTGTTTAAGTTCAGGTATGTTTATTAATTGAATCAGCCATGAACTATAATTTATTAAATTGAAAATATTTATTTAATTATTGTGTTGAAAATTGCTATTTCATAAACATGACTAAAATGTGATACATCTAGATTAATTAATTACTAGGTCTGTATTTAAAATTATTTCATACCATCGCCTTCTGCTAAGGTTCATAAAGATATGGACTGTTTCTTTAAAGGAACTTTGTATATCTTTACTTTACTGAACATCTTTTAACTTGACAGATTTAGTATTAATGGCATATACCATACCACTCTTGTAGACAATTCTGAAATTTAAAACCAAATATATAAGCAGAATCCAACTTGGAAGCAGTCATTTGTCAAAATGTATCAAAAAGATGGTAATGAATGTGCCAGAAAATGTCTAATGTCTACAGTACAACTACGGTAATCCTGCCATAGAGAACAAAAAAAAAAAAAGAGACCTACCGGTATATCTTTTATTCATTGGTGATTGTTGAAAATTTATGCTGTACTTTTTACACTTGTCTGCTGTAGGTAGGTATCCAAGTGAAAATTTTCCTCAAAAATCCACATTATTTGAGATGTAAATTGAGGCTGATAATTTATAGTTTCATTATCCTAACGCAGTACCTTCTGTACTTAGTGGCTGGTGACATAAAACACACAATACCTAAAACAACTAATGGTCCTCAAAAATTGAGCAGGAATACAACTATAGATACTATAAATATAACAAAGACTTTAATTTGGCACAAAAGAAAAGTAACCATTTGTTGTCCAAATCCTCTGTAAGTAATGCACTCATAAAACCTGTAACAGTCAGTTAACTTGGTTTTATGACAAATTTAAATCAGAAATGATACAGTAATCATGAAGGACCCCACTCACCCAGCACGCACACTTTTTGCCCCGCTCCTCTCAGGTACGAGGTTGAGGAGCATTAAGAGTAGAACCACTAGACTGAGGAACAGCTTCTACCCTGAGGCTGTTAAGACTCATGAATCTCTAACCAGAATAATCACTGAAAAATCACATCATGTTGCTGCTGATCTGTTTCATGTTGATGTGTTCATGCGTGCTCATAGACTCATGTTCGTGCTGCTGTTCATGTAATGTTTTTATGCTATTAGTGCTTAGTGTATTTTTAGTTGATGTTTTTTTAGTTCATATCTTAGATGTTATTATTGTTTTTCTTTTAAATTTTATTGTTGGATGTAACTGGGACCCTGTGTACACAATTTCGTACGACAATAATAATCCGACTCTCTCTTAACGCTGTGCAAAGATTAATTTTACAACGTCCCCTGTCGTGGCCCAAAACTCAGATATTCGTTAAAGTGTAGCTATTATATATTTAAGGTACATGAGATGTTGGTCGAAGAAGTACTGTAACTTCTTAATTTAAAGGTTACCTGTTGGTCCACATCTCCGCGACTTTTCTTCATGTCCGAGGTTATTCCTTCACTGCGGAGAACCTTCGATTTCCGCTTCTTTAAAGCGTCAGAAGACATGGCTACCTGGGTGTGAAATAGGTATTTGTAGTTGAGATAGAAACACAAATTTTTGAAAACCTCACTTCTTTAATTACAGAAACACAATATATTAGCACGCAAGCTAATCTCAACACTTGTGTCTCCTCCGAACTAGTAGCTAACAATCGTTAGCTTGTCGGGTAACGCGGCTAACAGCCCTAACATAAAATACATTTAGACTTTGAAATTGAAAGGCTATTATGCATTCATTGTTTATAAAATATTTAAATACATCTACAAACCTTTTTAGTGCCAAATTACGTCTCTAGTTGTAAACTATTATGCATTCACAAAATGGTCTCATTCAGACCGTCTCATCCAGGCTACAAAAGCGGAGTGACGACGGAAGCCCAGTGAGCCCAAAAACCTTGCGTGAGCTCACACGCGCTACACTGCCATCTAAATTTTTTTTGTAAAAATTGTGTTAAATTACACTAAAAATCCATTTAAAATAGCAAAATGTTAAATTGTCACTTTTTATATCAACAATAAGTATTGATTTTAATTGTCGTGTCTTACTAAAATAATTAGTGAAATCCAAAAAGTCCATGCTCAATAATCCAAGTATACAATCCCAACACTTTTCAGTCAGTTCATCTGGACAGTTTCTTTTTTTGCTGAAACGTTTCACCTTCCATCTGGAAGGCTTCATTAGTCAAGGAAACACATAACACAAAACTGATTCTTCCCCCAAACAGCTTACTCCAAATTAGTGAAATCCTTGAAATCTGGGCATTTCATGTGAACAGTTCCAAAAGGCAAAATCCTTCCAGGTGTTGTGACAGTGAGGAGTTGTCTCTTTCAAATTGTAATAAAACAATGGAGATGATAAAAGACGTAGATCGTCTCATTAAATTCAAGATATGTAAAGTTTTGTTGACTAAGTGACATTACAATGCATTTTTCATCCGGTAAACTTGTCCCCTAACTCAAGTTTTGTCTTGATGATCCAATCTTGCCACACCTTTCTTAAAACAATAAAAATCTAGCTTAAACTGGTGCCCATGAGAGCTCATGGGAGGACCTTGAAATCTAAATTTTGGATTTTGGTCTATGAAAAATTATGTGGTTATTAACTTGAGAATGTGAAAAGTTACGTTTTAACTTAGAATTCTGGAAAAATTGGACCAAAATAATTTAATAGCAATCTTTAGACCAAACATCTAATTGGAAGCCATTACCTTTTGAAATACCATTAAAACATTCACAATCAGCAAGGGGAAAAAAGGGAACATCCTCCAATATTTGAGTGTCTCATCTCAGAAACCCTTAAAAGCTGAAGGCTATATTTTTGCATGTGTTCAATATACTTAAAATACTTTTCACCTGAATCGGGAGTTGGTCACCAGGGTACCCTTTGATTGAGACCACATAAAATGACCCACCCATCACAAATATGTACAACTTTGTATAAATGCATCAATTAAACATCTCTATTTTGTCTTCAATTCAAGAAAACATGAGTACATTTGAAAATGATTTATTCACAGCTTGACAGTTTTAATTTACAAAAAAGCACAGAATAAAAATGTGAAGTTACAAACAAGAAACAGTTCCTATACTCTTCTTTTTTTTATCTTGTGTAGACTTGACAAACTAAATGACTAGCATGTCTGAGCTCACTTTGCCATATCTATCAAACTCTGCAAAGATGTGGGAACCCAAGTTTTCTCTCCTTGCACAAACACAACGCCCCTGTCTATGAAGATAACAATACGCCCAAATGTGTACAACTGTTTACCCTCATGCCGTTTGCCTACTAAGGGCATAAAGACAATATTGTTCTCCTCTGCTTTGGTCTGAATGAGATCTTTGAAGTTAGTTGGCACACCAGCACTGATGCCCCTGTGAGCCACACTCTCAGCATCCCTGCGTTCCTGCAAAGCTTCATACTGAAAGTCTTTCCGTCTCTCTGTCTGGGTGAGATATGCAATATTCTCTCTTGCACCAGGCTGCATATAGCCACCTGTTAACAGAAAAAACAGCATGTTACAACATAGTTTGGTGTTGTAGAGACAAAATGCACAGGTGCTTTGTTGTCATGTATTCAAAAAAATTATTTTTTATCTCCTCCAATTCCAAGTGTTTCTGTTTATGTATTACTTAAAAGAAAATGACGATACCAACCCACGCCAGAAGATACTGCACGGTTCATGATGTCCAAAGCTTCATTGAATTTCTCTTTAATGAGCGGCTGTGCCAACAAAACGTCACTAAACATGGTTTTCCAGCCAAGGTACCATTTAGTGATTTCTTCATAGTTCGGGCTGTTGCTCAGCCATGAACACAGAACCTATAATCAACAACATAATAGACACCTTTTTTTCTTCAAAATTTTAATTGAATAAATGATACAAAACAAGCTCATGGAGCTATAATAACCATCAAGTCTTGGTTTGTGATGCTGTGTGTGTGAACTTTCACTGACCTGCAACCATTTTGTGAAAAAGTTTTTGTCCAGCAGTGAAACGAGGCTAGAGGGGGAAAGCATGCCCTCCCAGTCCATCACCCAGTGAAATGGCTCCATCTGCTGCTGGTGAGGATTTATAACCAGTTCTTCCAGGCATAATGCTAAAGAGATTCATAATTCATGATATGAAGGCAGATCAAGGATATTTTGAAAAGGAAGTGATAAAATGTGGAGATAAAAAACAGAATGTATATTTTCATATATAGGTTTGTCAAACATAATATTGACTGCTACCTAGTTTGGGGATGATATTTTTCAGCAGGAAAGCCTCCCATGCACCAACTGTGAAAACATTTTTCCATGGTTGAAGAATGAGGCGGGCTGAAGCATCACTGGGATGCCACCGCTGCAAAGCGTTGGACAGTTTGCTCCTAATTGGTGGGTAAAGAGGCTCGAGACGTGACTGGAGTAGAGGTAGCCATGGATGAATCCATGAATGAATAGGCACTGTGTCAGTTAGAGGGTTCCAGTTATCAACCTGTTGGAAAAGCAAATAAATTAAGTTTTAAATGTAATAATGATTCTAAGAGTGTGAGCTGTCTTCCTGTGAGAGTCAGTCTTGCCTCTCGCTGCAGTCGGGGTAAGATAATCTGCTCCATCAAGTGATCCAGGATCCATGTGGGCAAAATAGGAGTCCACATTTCCACACAGTCCACCATTGGCCCGACCATTCGAGGCTGCCAGCCTGACACACAAGATCGCATCACTGGAATCCACACCTCCCATAACAGCCTGAATGAATAGATTTTTTATTTTGAAAAACACACATAAATAAAATTAAGTTGTTTTAGAAGAGGAAATTATTACCATAAATAAAAAAGGCACTGTATTACGTGTTGGCATGTTTAAACTGACCTGTGGTAAGGATCCATATCTGAATGTGGACCACTGGACTGCATGTCTCTGGATTCAAGGATGGCTCTCCATAGACCAATATCTTCCAGACAATAAGCACTGTCCTAAAATAATCAAAGATGTCAAGAGTACTAGCTCAAATATTATAATTAGTTTAAAAAAAAAAATCCTCCAATTTTAAAAGAATACCTTCAAAGGGTCCCATAAGAAAAGTTTCTCCTTGAGCAGTGGATGAACAACAGATACAGCCAGGTCGGCCAATCCCATTGTTTTATATTCTTCATAATAATCAGTTTGTAATGTCTCAAATATTTGAGCACACTCCTGAACAGAAAAAAATACTAAAATTAGCCATATAATTTTAAAAGATAGAGTTGGAGGTACGAAACTAAAACAGCCTGCTGACTGTAGCTAGTAAGTGTGTTTGCTAAGAAAAAAAAAAACCTGTAGTGTTGGTCCTTCCCCTGGTGCCATGTCTTCAGAAGGAAAACGCTCCACTAAGGCCAAAACAGCTTCCATTCTTTGGATGGACTTTTGCTCTGCCTCTAGTCTGCCCTGCAAAGCTTGTGACTCATGGCTCAAAGTAACCACTACATCTTTTTCATGCTGTAAACGTCTGGCAGACTACAAAAGATGTGAGGAAAAAAAGTTTAGAAAATCTGTAGAAACGGACACATCTTAAAACTTGATCTATAAATATTAACAGCTGTCAAATTACAGTTGTTGAGAAACACTCTTTGTTTTCTCATACCTGTAAAATGTCCTGCTCGGTAAGGTCTATCAGAAGCTGCAGGTTATGCTCAAGCTCAGGGAGAGCAAAGCCAGGTCCCCTTTGATCTCGAGAGGACAAGGTTGGAGGAGCTTCATCTGGAACACTGTGTTTGTTGGACATTTGAGTGTAACTGTAGTACACTTTCTGCTCTTTTCCAGTCATATCTATTACCTAAAACATGACAAATGCATGGGACCATGGATTACAAAGCAAAAATGGCACCCATGAATGTGCTTTTATGGGAAGAAAAATTAAATATACACATGATATTAAGGTGATAGGTATAGTGGTTCCCAAAGAAGTGAGTATATTTACAATTTGGATGAAAATAAAATTAATGCACGAGTATAAGCAGTCACTTTACTAGATTCCAGATTATTAGCACAGTTGGAGGCAGAGAAAAGCAGGTAATGTCGCTGCATATTAATTAATACAAATCAGAGGTTTAAAAGTCGATGTACTCTTTAATGCCTGAAAAACTCACTATATTCTGCAACTAGCACTATTTGTTGAGGCTCATGACTATAACTAAAACTTGCCTATATATAGCTAAAGCTCAATAAACAACAAAAGCTTCTTGTTGCTTCTTTAATTTGGAATTTAAAAAGCTAAATTGAAACATACCTTGACCTGTGCCAGCTCTCCTGCAGATGCCGGTGTGCTTCGATTTGCCATTTTACCTTTAGCCTTCAGCTCATCTATAGTTTTGTAAGAGTACTTAGGTTTCTTTTTTACTCCAGAAGCAGTCGGATCTTTACGCCACTGGCCAAGTTCTTTCTGAAATTCCTACACCAAGACAGTTATAAAACATGTCTTTATAAATCTTAATTAACTTTAGATCTGTAACATCAACCATAAACACAAAAAAGATCAAAAGATAATTTTATCAGCACTTTACCTTTTCTTCTTCTTCATCTGAATCAACCACAGGAAAGTCCTGAAGACTCTGCCGAGTTCGTTCGTTGCCATAAGCACCAACTGCTCCTTTACCTTTACGAACCTTTGCCTCAATTGGGTTTATAATACCTGTAGAAATTAATCACAGCAAAGCATTTTAACTATTGAATTTATCTTAAAATGCAAATCATTTAATGAAAATATTATATTTTTAATCAATTGTAATCACCTTGGGCATTTTTGCCCAGGCCTTTTCCAGGTTGGTAGCCCATTTTTTGCAAAAGTTTCTGTCCAATCCCCCTCGTGTGTTTCTCCCAGTTCCCGATACCCTGTCCAGACTGTATACCACCAGCAAACCTCTGGGATTGATGCCCACGGAAATTACCCTATAAAACAACGTATTCTTATTTAATATGTCATATTCTTGCTTCAATAATGTCCTTTGACCGATTGCACAGCAATGGGAAACATTTGAATGGAAATAAAATGACCATCTGGAGCTTTTTGGGTGCAGTCACACGTGAAGGAGGAGGAGGAGGAGGCGCAGCAGAATCATCATCAGAGTCATCGGAACCTTCTTTCTCCTGTTTCTCCTCAGTTGCAGTCTTACGCAAACCAGCGCTCACAAAGCTCACTGGAGCAGTGTAGTCTTTTGATCTAGCAACAAAATAAAATATATAAACCACAAACAATTAGCTCATTTTTTTTTTTTGTTAATTGTTAAGGTCAAATAGTTTTTGGGACAAAAAAAAAGCTACTTTTACTTCTTGCCACCAAAGCTTGGCCTCTCATCTTCATCTGAATCCCTCTCAGCCCAGATGCCATAAGTTGCCTGTTCCTTGGTCTGCCTGAATCTTTGCCGCTCCGGGTTAAACTCATTGGCCAAATCCCATTCGGTCACCTCGAAGCTCTCCACCTCCACACCTTCATCTTCCTCCTCCCTGCGTCCGTAAAGGTGGGACATTGACATCTCTGTAGAAATAAACCATATCGTTATGAGGTTTAGAATTGTGATGTCCAAATGACTAAAAGGTATCAATCTAATGTATGAGATACATACATCTAGTCTTACAGTTCTGTAAAAAACAAATGTAACATGAAATTACATTAGTCGATTTCTGGGCATTTCTTGAATCTTAGTTGTAGCTTGCTCGAGAAAGTCAATAATTAGTTTAAAATACTATGAACAAAAATACAATAACAATAACAAAGTTAATGTGTAATGGTCAATGATCGCTTTTTAGAGAACGTTGAATAACACTAAACAACAGACCTGCGGAAGCTAATAGTTAGCAACAACAACGAACATGGTGACATAAAATATTAGACACATTACATAATTTGCGTGCTGCAAACCCAAGGATATGTTAATTATTTGCTGACTTACCGAAATATATATTTTATTTTGTTCCTTAGCAAACTTTTTTTTAAGGTGGTTAGAAGAATCTCAGCTAACGTCTGGTTCAACGTACAAGCAAGTACTTCCGGTTTAGTGGTGTTGCATTAAAACCTGTACGTGAACCACTCATCCACAACTCGCCAAAAATGTCAATGAAATTCGCAAGGGAAACAAAAAAATAAGTTATGAACTGGAAATTGAATCTAAAACAATTGCATTTGTTGAATGATTCATTTAACCGTAAATCGGTTGACCATAACTAAGTTATTTTGACCAGACTTCTAAATATTCAAACACCCAGGAAACAAAAACAAAATTTGGTGTAACACCGGAAAAAGTACAGTGTCGCATTTAAACACGTCCCATGTGTTTCCGTGTGTCAGTATCTAAAAGCGCCTTAAATTAAATGGTAACTTTTGTAATAAGATATGTTAATGTCATTTCGGATTAGAATTGGACACTTGATAGTTCGCATAAATGTCGGACACCACAGAGGAATGGAAGGTAGCTCGGCGGCGAAAAGGTGCCCCAAGGAAACTTAAATCTCATGCGGTTTCTTCATCATCATCATCCTTCCACCAGGAGGAGGTTATAGATGTCGGTAAACTTACCAAAAGAATCAGAGACACGGTGTAAGAAATCATTTATTTACAGATAAAATTAGATATTTTACAATGTTTGTCCATAAACCTTTTCAATTTTTTTTTTTAAGGTCTGAACTAAGATGCGAAGAGTTTTGGTTACAGTGGAAAAGTGAGCATGTTGCACCACCAAAACTGTTGCCAGATAGGATATTTAATTTGTTTCATGGATGATGTATGGATTATGTAGTTTGCAGACTTAATCGATAATGTCATCTTCAGAGCAGCTGCTCCTGGCAGCATCAGGACCAGGACCTCCTGAGAGCCTTGACACCAAAGACCATTTGAATAAGAACCGTGAAGACTGTCAACAGTTGGAGTGTGTGTGTTATGGACTGGGATCCTTCTCGTCCTCTGTCTCAGCTCGGTACCAGCTTGCCATGTTGTTGCTGCTTCTGGATGCTGGACAGGTCAGAGGATAGACTCCATCTGTGTTATAACTAAGGTTTATGAGACTAATACAAGTTATTGTTCTTTTTTCAGTAGATTCCACTTCAGGACTGCTCTGTTTTTGATCCTGCATTCTCCTCGTCTGAGAGGGACATTTTGAAAGAGCTAGGCTTGACTGTACTCACAGAAAACGAGGTCAGTTGATCATAACCTGTGTATTTCATTCTGTCAGACAAGAGACACTTGTCAAGAGTACAACACAGGTAGCTGCTGCCATATTACAAGTTAAACTACAGATTCTCATTGTTAGTAAACCATTATTTTTAAATCATTCCAATGTGTTTTTGTGAAAACTAGTTTATAGTACTCCTAGTTCAGGGGAGTAGTTTACAGAAGTGATGAGGAAAACAAAATGTAGTCAGTGCTCACCATTGCACCATTGGGTGCACTCTTTTTAAATCAGCTGGGCAATGATACAAGTGATAATGAGTGGTGGAAAGAGAAGCTTCCTCTTAAATGAAGAGCAAAGCGTTTACCTGGTGGGAGGGAGTGTCACCTTAAGTCAGGGGCGACCTGTTGACACGTTCTACCAGAAATCACTGTTTTACACGGTGCCTGCAATTTATATTCATCTAATTTGCTGACATTTGTCACATTTAGATCTTAAAAGTAAGAAAAACTTTGTTTTGTTTGTCAGTCTTGTGGTTTAGCTAGTTTAGGCACAGGATGTTGATTATTGAGCATGCATCAGGATGTGAACTTAGCATTCCCAGCTAATAATGCTGCTTGAAAAGATGATCAAACACCAGACTGGCTAAAGGCTAGCAACTTTTTTCTTTATTACTTTTTAAAGATGATATTTCTAGCAGTTTCACTTTGCTATTAGTTTGTTTTAACCATGTATTTGTGTTTTAAATATCATGAAACATGAAGAAAACCATCATCCTATTTTCTGTGTTCTACAGGAGGGGAAGCGTCAGGCCAGTAAGCCCACCCTGTTTTATTTAATGCACTGTGGGAAAGCCCTATACAACAACCTTCTGTGGAAGAACTGGAGTGCACAGTGTTTGACCCAGGTGATGATCATTGGAAATAGCTTCAACGGCATAAGGGAGAGGTTTGTACAAGGTGTGCATGATGACGATGATGTTTTAGCAAGTAGATAAGAGATAGAGTGATGTCCTCTTTCTGTTGTAGGACCATTGAGAGGGAGCTGAAGCGAGACTACAGGTACATCAGTGAGGCTGTGGGTTTATGTGAGGAGAGACCACTGCCCTGTCCTTCTCATCTGTTAGATGTCTTCAGTGACACAGCAGTTATCACTTTTCCCCCCGACAGCCTGAACAGACTCCCATGGATTTCTTGGGCTGAGCCACCCGAGCCTGAGTACTCACACTGCTCAGATTTGGAGATAATCCTGAAACAAGCATCTCTCATAGAAGCTCCTGAAAATGACGATAAATAACAGTGGACTTTTTTTTATTTTTAACTCAACATAATGTTTGCATTTGTTTAAATAAATTAACTATTCCATAAATCAAAGCGAAGTCCAGATGACATGATTCAACCTTTTTTGTTGTTATATACCTGGATGACTGAGAAAACAAACTTTGTATTCCATAAATCAAAATTTTGTCCTTCTGAGCCACTGTCATAAGTGGAAGAGTCATAAAACATGTTTGTTTGGTTAAAATCTTAGGCAATCAATAAAAAACGTTTGTTTTTGCTATTTGACTTCATTGCAAGACTCCCATGTTATCTATTCATGTTTGGGTTGGCTGTTTTAACTATTTTTATCTATTACGCAACATGTTTACGTGCATATTTGTTAAGTTTTAAGTAAAAGTCAAGCTGCAACGACAGAGTTCTTAAAATGAAGAGAACAGATGTTTAATACAACAAAAGTAAAATGTTTATTGTTGGGAGAAGAAAAAAAAAGCTAAATACCACCTTCTCACAGCAAAACATTACAACATACAGTAAAGTAATACGCATCCTCTTAAAGCTGTCTTTCTCTTCTTTGAATCACTTTGCTTTTTAAATCCTGGAAAAGTTTCATCTTACAGCATAGACTTTAGAAAAACTCGTTAACAAGCCACTGTGTGCAGCGTTTTCACTCCTCAGCTGCACCACTGGCAGCGGCACTATCTACTCCATTTACTGCTTTACTTCCTGTTCCATTACTTGGCTTCGAAACAACATCTGCCCAGGTCAGTGTACTTTTAAGGACTGATGGGCTGGCTAAGCCGTCCACATCTTTGTTTGCGTCCCCCGAGGCTGACTTAATCTGACCAGGACCTGTCCCTTTTCTATCACTGTTCTCATCAGTTTTCTCTATCGCGTGACCATTAGCTAACACACTTCCAGCACTCCCAGTAGATGTGACTTCCTCCTGCTGCTCCTGTTGACTCTCACTGTTTTTCTCCTCGGCCTTGTTTCCTCCGTCCTCTGCTTCCTTCCCACACCCCACATCTGAGACGGGAAGCTCGAATGGAAGTTTGATTCCCAGTTCTCTTGCTGCTGCAAGCTTTCGCTCCAAGTGTTTCTGTTTATACTCCTCGAACCTGTCGCTGTGAAAATACATTAGAGGCATGAGTGGGGTTTTAAAAAAGACAATATTGAAATATACAGAACAAAATGTGTAAAAACAAACTAGTGTTAGTAACTGCACATTGGTCTTTTTTAATTCGCTTTAAGGGCTTTATTATTTTTCATTGGGGCCAGATAGCTCAATGAGAATGTTCTTTCAACAACAGTTTATCAGTAATTTAGGAACATCTTTATTATGTATGTTAAGGTCAACTAGTAGTACATTTTGTTTTGATAAAAAAGGAAACTTATTGTATGTGCCACTGAGTGTTTAAAGCATTTGATTTTTATTTAAATTTTTATGTTATATCATGAAAAACAATAACAGTCTCTTAAACACTACATAACTAAAAAATCCTACAAAAAAATACGAGTTTGTTCCTAAATATAAAGAAAAGGTTTGTTTTAGGTCATTTCAAAACTGTTACACCATTTTACTTTACTTTTTGTTTTTACGACGACAAAATGTTTGCATTAATAATCTTGACCACAGGATAGAATAATCAGTACAGGTTTGTATAAATTTAAGGGTTAAAATAATCCTGTACCTCAGTTTTTCATAGTGATGAGCTCTACAATATTATCACTTAAAAAAAAAATCTGGGATTATTAAGATGATCTGTCACTACCAAATTAAGTCACTGACTTGTTGACATTTAACTTAATTATTAGTTCAAGTTCAGGAATCTTTATTATCCCCGAGGGGCAATTTGTTTCACAGTCAAGTAGGCACACAAAACATCCATACTACACAAGGCAGTGAGACGTAAAAAAACAGTACAGAAGTCATCAATGTTCATTAAGAAGCCTGATCATTACAAGGATGAATGAGTTTTTCAGTCTATTTGTTCTACATCTGGGCAGCAGATACCTGCATCCAGATGGAAGCAACCTGAACTCACCATGGAGTGGGTGATCAGGATCTGCCAGAATCTGCCTGGCCTTGTTCACTTGTTTATTATTTGTAAACTGCTCCTTTTTTTTCTGATCCCTGGTATGTTTCCTGGAAATCATTGCTTTGGCATCGAAATCTGCATAATCAAATACTTTTACAAACCATAGCATCTACGTTATATATTTACTATGTTGTCTTTGAACTACTTTCAGTTAAATATGTGGCTTGTTCATATTTTCCAACCTATTATTATGCAGTCAATAATCCTTTCTGCATACCGCAGTAAATGTTTACCTGCGTGTAATCCTCCTGATCCCTGTTACCAGAACCATCTGCTCCAGAATGGCGTCAGATGTTGGGCTTAGACACTGAGAACGGAGGAGAACGCATGGTGAAATACTTTTTATTTTAATGTGAAACATAAACACATTAGCACCGATCCATACCTCTATGATTTGCTCAGTGGACTCAGCTCCTGCCTGTCTGAGAGAGCGTTCTACTTTCACCGCCTGCTTGGTTATGGTGCTCAGGAACTCTTTGCTGCAGTGAGTCTGAGGGTGATCCTCCCCGAACTACAAGAAAAAATAACCATAAGATGACATGCTCACACAACCTGTCTACCATATTTACTCTGTCACACACGGTTACAAACCAGTGAGGTGAAAGCAGACAGAGCCTCTTTCTCGTGTGTCATGGCACCTCTGTAGTCACCCTTACTGCACATCCACTGGGACAACAGGTGCTGACTGCATGGGAAAATGAAGCAAGAGTAACCACAGTGATTTCGATAAGATAAATAAGGACCGCCTGCCACCTGTCTAACCACATCAAATTTTAGCTCATCAGTCATCTTGACTGAGATATAGCCATTGTTGACTCAAAGTGTTATTTGGTCGTAGATGTACATGCAACAATTATTTTTAAAAATTTCATTAAAATCAGTCCAGTGCTTCATGAGATAATTTACTAACAGGCACAAACACACATGCACAGGTGACGCCTTTGATGGTAAGTGATAACGATAACAGGCGTGCTTCGAGTGAGATCTTACCTGAGAGCAGTTTGTAGATCTGTAGCTCCAAAGAAGGAAGTGTTCAGTCTCAGAGCATTCTTTAAAAATTGTCCCGTCTGATCTGCCAGCACCAGACCGAGGCAGCTCTGCAGGGGAACAGTCAGAAGGTCGTGAATGGTGCAAAAACAGAATTTCTTCTTTTATTGCACCGTAGTAAGTTTTGCACAAACATGTAGTGACTATTCTAAACCGCTGGAACCTACGTCTAGTGTTGCAGTGTACGGGTGGTCTTCTCCGTGGACTGTCAGCATCAGCAGGCGAGCTCTGAGAAGACACTTCTGAGCCAGGGCAGTCTCCCCTCCAGCATACGCATACACAGCCAGGAGGGCCTGTGGATAAAGCCACAATCATATGAATCACACTGTGACAATTGGATAGAGGTGTAGATATTGAAATGTGCAATTGTGCTCACATATTGCTGAATAGTGTTGGGATGGTCAAAGCCAAGCACCCTTTCACTGATGACCACTGTTTTCAGCTGTACACTGCGGGCCTGAACAACAAGAAAAAGGCAAACTGATCAGGAATTATTATTATTCAGTGTAATAAAGCATTCTGAAATTGTGAATGATTCTCAGCTACTACCACTTCAAATTTTGGCAGAATATAACTGATTGAATTATAGGCATCTTTGTGTTTTCTAAAGTTTGTCTGCTGCCATCTTGAGTTGGGTTGGCTTTAGTTTCCTCAGTTTTATTAAAATTAGTCCAGCAGTCCATGATGTATTTGGGACTAATCTGCAGAAAAGTGACACTTATTGATAAAAAACCTGAGCCAGAGCCACCTATAACTGGTTCATGCAAGTAAAATAACTTAAAAGTGTGCTTGTCATTAAGTTCGTTCGGTTAAGCTGTAACCTTCCCCTGTGTGTGCATGGTGGAGGAATAGTGGCCACACCTCAGCTGTCTTCCCCTGCAGATAGGTCACTTTAGCCAGCAGGCTGTGGCAATAACACGCTTCAGGGTGCAGATCATCGCACACTCTGCCAAACAGGTAGGCTGCCTCCTTCAGTTGTTCATGGGCCTGATCCAGCAGACCTACAATGAGAAACCCACAACCATTTTTGCACAAAAAGTGAAATGATAATACATTTGAAAGAGATCTAATCAAAAGTAAATGTTGAACAAAGCTGCTGCGTTTATTTTTATATCTACCTTTCTGAATGGAGTTCTGTGCAGCACGATATGCTTTTGAAGCATCCACAATGGGCATGTGAATGTGTTTCACCACAGGGAAGATGTTGAGGATGTCATCTGGACTGATGGGGGCTTTGTTTTGGTTGTCAAAGAAGTAGTCTCTCAGTCTCAACTGGTGGACAGAAAATTTTGACATTTTTATTTTTCTGGCTAATTTTGTAATTAGTTTAGTAATGCACTAAATCCACGTTTTATGTGTCTGATACCTGCACTCCCGTCTTTATGCAGAATTCTCTGAGCAGAGAGACTTTTTGAAGACCGTAATGCTCCACCAGGTAGTTTGGACCAGAGCTGTCACGTGAAAAGAAGCATTAAACCTTGAACTTGTAATTGTAAAACTACAATCCCAAGAACAAAAAGTTTGGATAATGTGTAAAATGTAAATAAAAACAAAATGCAATGATTTGCAAATCTAAAAAAAAAACATTTTATTTGTAATGGAACATAGTGAACATATTAAATGTTTGAACTAATTATACTAATTCTTTTAGTTGAAAAAGGTAATTTGAATTTGATGGCAGCAACATATCTCAGTAAAGGGCCATGTTCCCCACAGTGAAGCATCCCGTCTTCTTATCACAACAATCTGTAAACATCTAGGAACTAAGGAGAGCAGCTGCTGAAGATTCTGGAGGGAATATTGTCCAGTTCTTGTTTAATGGAAGATTCTAGCTCTTCAACAGTCCTGGGTCTTTTTAGACCCAGAGAGGTCAGAGGTCTGGACTGCAGGCAGGTCAGTTCTTCTATTAGATGACTCGTGTTGTTGTAATGGATTCAGTGTGTGGTTTAACTTTGTCTTGCTGAAAAATGCAAGACCTTCCTTGAAATAGACGTTGTCTGGATGGGCGTATATGTACTAAATCTAATCTAAATGTATCTACTGTTCTGCATTGATGGCGCCTTTTCAGATGTATAAGCTGCTCATGCCAAAGGCACTAATGCACCTCCATACCATCAGAGAGGCAAGCTTTCAAACTGTGCACTGATCACAAGCTGGATGGTCGCTCTCCTCTTTACTACAGAGGACATGGTGTCCATGCCTCAGTCCATATAAAATTACATTTGGCTCTGGGAAGACTGGTGTTTCTAGATAGTGTTCACATATGGCTTTCTTCTTGCATGATAAGAGTTTTAATCAGCATTTTGTGGATGGTACAACAAACTGTATTTACAGAACATGGTTTGTGTGGCATGGAGGCTGCACAGCTGCAGAAAGAAAAGCTTTGCAGAGAGTGGTGAAGGCTGCACAGAAAACTGTCGGAGTCAGCCTCCCCACCATCACAGACATATACACCTACAGATGCAGGAAGAGAGCCACCTGCATCATGAAGGACCCCACTCACCCAGCACACACTTTTTTCCCCACTCCCTTCAGGCAGAAGGTTAAGGAGCATTAAGTGTAGAACCACTAGACTGAGGAACAACTTCTACCATGAGGCTGTTAGACTCATGAATCTCTAATCAGAATAATCACTGAAAAATCACATCATACTGCTGCTGATCTGTTTCATGTCGCTGCTGATTTGTTTCATGTTGCTGCTGATTTGTTTCATGTTGATGTGTTCATTCGTACTCATCTGCTCACATAGACTCGTTTGTGCTGCTGTTTAACGTATTGTTTTTATACTACTAGTGCGTAGTGTATTTTTAGTTAATGTTTTTCTTAGTTCATATCTTAAGATCTTATTACTGCTTTTCTTTTACATTTTATACTTTTGTTGGATGTAACTGGGACCCTGTGTACACAATTTCATTCCATCACATGTACCACATGTGGTGTGAATGACAAATAAAGAACCTTGATTCCTTGTGGATCTGTTCCTGCGCCCTCACAGTGACATCTATAATAGAATCAGACGCGTTTTTAATGCAGTACTGTCCAGGGGCCCGAAGAGCACGGGCATCCAACATCAACTTTCAGCCTTGTCCTTTGAGCTCAGATATTTCTCCAGATTCTTAAAATATTTTGATGATAATATGAATTGTAGATGATGGAGGATTTAAAGGCTTTCACTTTTTTAGGTTGAGAACCATTATTTTGAAAATTTTCCACTATTTTTCCACGAAATTTTTCACTGGCTGGTAACTGTCAGCTCTGCCCATCTTCTCAGAGATTCAGCCATTGGCACAGTTTCAAAAAGTTCCAGCTTTTTATTAACTTTTGCAACCTCTTGTTGCCCCATCCTGAATAAAATATGGGTTTATACTTTTGTGCAAATCACTGCATTCTGTTTTTGCTTAACAAGAACTGTGTGAACTCACCCAAGACCGTCGGAGATGTCATAAGTTTCAACAGCATCTTGGCAGACCAGATTCCACAGCTCAGCTCCCGTGAGCATGCTCCAGGGCATGTTCTCAGATGTCCCGGTGCTGCGACCTCGCCGTCTTGACTTTTTCTTAGTCTCCTCCCCCACAGGAGAGGGAGTGAAGTGGGGAACCAACAAGCAGTCGAGGAAATGGCTGATGGCTGCAGCGAGACTCGGCACGTCTACACCCTACAAAGACATGATTATAGACTGCCTTTCATTTTCTGATATGAAGCCACACCGCCTCTACAGTGACAGTGTTTGGAGATTAAAAACAGGGATTGTTAATTATAGAGCAATGCATACTACCTGGAGGAAATTGTTGAACACTCGTTTTGTTGAGCGGACAAAAATTTCACCCATCACTGATCTCTGTTGAAGACAAAGAGATATTCCAGATAAAAGGCAGCTGCATTATTGATTTTTTTATTTAGTTTTATGAGGGGAAAAAATAGACAAACCAATATATGCCTCAGGCGCTCCTTGTGTTCTGATTGGGAAATAGCTTTGACAATGTGCCCCAGGTACCGCAGGTTGATGCCTCTTATGTGCAGTGACTGTTTTAGAGAAGCTCCGTCCATTGGCACCTCATTGCTCTGTTGGCAACCTTTCAACTGCAAAAACATAAGGTGAACAGATTTAATTTTAACATATAGTTAAATATATATATTATATATATAGGCTATATCATATAGCCTGTGATATGATTCTAACAGAGTGGAGACACTCACAAAGGCCGGTATCTGGTGTGTGACAATGAAAGCTGCAGCTTCTCTCAGTAACCTCTCCTGCAGCTCTGTTGTTGCACTTTCACTGGGAGGAAAACGTATCCCTATACAAAACACAGGAGGCATGCGCCTTATTAGATTGGCTCAACTTTGTGTTTGTATTACTTTCTGTGAAGACATAGTTAGATTGCACACCTGGAGAGAAAACATTTGGGTTGAATCGCATCTCAAAGATAATGTCGCTAATTGATCCCACTTCTTTACACGCAGCTCGCACTGCATCCGTTGCCCGAGAGTCATCTGCAAGAATAAAATAATTTATCTAATTTTAAATGTATTAAATAACCTTAGCTTGGACTTGCATTTGTTTAAATGTACTAAAACACTTCTTACTGGCTGTTGCACATTCTTCAAAACCTCCATTTTCATTCAACTTCTCCCTGACACGCTGGGTGAACAAGCAGTGTCTAAAAATGTAAACAAAATAAGAAACTGGAGTTAAAAATGTGTATTTTAAATTGACTTTACAAGCTTCATTGTTGTCATCTTGAACTCACTTATGCTGAATGAAAGCCTGCACCAGCTCTGGCCTCAGCCTACAGAGTCTGTGAGGAAAAATTTTTGGAAGTCCAGAGGTGGTTTTATAATTCTCTGGCCAGCCTTCTTTATCACAACTCTTCTCCTCCTCCTCCTCCTTCTCCTCTTCTTCTTTACTGCTTTTACTACTCTCTTCTTTTTCAGTTGTTGGCTGTTGAATTTGTGTCTCCTCTTCTGGACAAAAGTTGGCATCAGCTGGGAAGGTCCTGAACACATCGAGTAAGTAGAACCTCCTGTCAGCCCCCAGCAGCCCCTGAGCATCCACTGAGGTGAACAGTGGGACCTGGTGACTGTTGGGTCCCACAACAACATGTCTCTGAATCGAAAGAGATTTAGCGGAGTGAGCCAAGAACGACAGCAGCTGTCGGCGCTGGGGGGACTCTTGGGGCCCTGCGTTCACCCCGTAGAGCAAACCTCTAAACACAGGAAGAGAAAAGCAGTTAGCAATAACATCACAATAAAACATCCAATACAGCTCAGTCTCCCATAGAAACATAAGCCCACCTCGATGCAGGAGAAGCCTCTTGGTCTGGCTCTGAGCCCTCTAAACCAGGAGCCAGACCCTGAGCAGACAGGCGCACCCCTCTGTAGTCTACAATGGCCGTAGGTAGAGTGTGCAGCCCCTGCAACCCCTCCAAGTCACTGTAAGCCTGAACACCTTTAAGCTCCAATCGCTGAGCTGCTCTGCAGTTACAAGACGAGAGGAGAAATAAAAATAGACTCAAATAAACCATTTTAATGTTTATTTTAAAGTCTAACCATGACTCTTATTTAGCCCTTAACATGTCTGAATACATCCAGCTCACATTTAGACTAAACAAGTAGTTTCATCCTTATAATTTTATTTATATAATTACCAAACAACTGCAAATATATGTGACCACATTGAACCAAGGATGAAGTCAGATTTGGTCAAACTAATTAAAGCACATTTTCAGATTCTTGGCTTTTTAAGCTAAAATTTGAACCGTGATCATCCAGATATGATTGGTTCAAGAAACATGGGTTGATTTGTCTTGCTAATTGGGATAACCCATGGAGAATGGTCTGAATCCTATTTTTCCTATCTAACCCTATTATACCATATTATTTTACATTATTAGTGTTTGGCAAAAATCTTAGATCCTTATATATATATAGTTAATTTTTATACTTTATATTTTTTACTATTTTTGGGTGTAACTGGGACAGTGAGTACAGTTTCGTTCCACCTCATGTACCACATGTGATGCGAATGACAATAAAGAACCTTGATTTTAGTACATTTAATAAGAATTTATTGACGTCATTTAAAAAAGAAAACTTCAGACTATATTTGGTTATTGCGAGTTTCCAGCTGGTATTAAAAACAGCTTAACACACAGAGAAAAGAGCAAAAATTTAAGACTTTTCTGCTCAAAATCATTGTTAGTTGTTGGTACTGCTCAGAAACGTGCTTCAAAACTTCAGGATTATATTTCTAACATGTGACTCAAGGGACCCATTGAAAAAATATTGATTCATCATTTTTTGGCAAAATCCAAATAGTGCACTGTTTTCAACCAATGCACCATCTCTGCCTATATTCCATCAAAGCACTTTGTGGTTAATCCTCAGTTTGATGTGATGGGTCACATACAGTATAAAATGCACAGATCTCATCTGTGTGAATTATGCAAAAATTGATAAAAACAAACAAATAACCTCTTTATTTACACGAAAATAAAAACAGACAATAATAGAAGACAGTGGGACGCAATTGTGCCACATAAAGACTATGAAATATGTTGCGCGGCATCATTAGTGTGGCTTGTTAGTTCACAAACTATGCTCTATTCTTGCCCATGTTAGCTAAACTTTGACATTTTTTCCATCTTTGACTAGTTTTATGTATACAAACTTTCACATAAAGAAAAATAAGCTTAATTACAGGCTAAATGTGTTCTATACACTTGAGATATTGTTTAGATGTCTGTACAACCCTACAAAGCTCATTGGTATTATACAATCCAATATGAAATCATGGTACACATAATGAACCTTAGATGTACTCATAAAATCCTGCTGCACCATTATATTCTACCATGTTGTTGTTTACTATCTCTCTTCATGACCTTGTAAATATTATAATTATTTTTTCACTTTTTGGTACTTTATTTTTGTACCTTTATTGCATGCTTTTAATAGTTCTTGTTGTTTTGTTCTTTGATTTTTTTTAGTAAGTCAAATCAGTTCTTCTCATCCTAAGCATTTCACTGTACTGTTAACCTTGTGTTAACCTTGCATATGACAAATAAACACAACTTGAACTTGAAAAGCAAACTGCTTTGCATCCAGATCATCTTTAAAGTTTTTGAGTGTGTTTGTGTGTTGCCTGCTATTACCTGCGACCCCTCTCGCCACCAAACACTGCACTCGTGGCCCCCTGGCTCATGAACAAGCCACCCCATAGGAAAGCAGGGTCCTCAGGATTTCCATTCACTGACTCAACAAATCCATCTATCACAGTCTCTGCCCCCTGCATGGCAGCTCTCACAAATGCACTGTTTACCTGAGATGTAAGCAAAACAAAGAGGCAGAAAGTGAATGAGAATACAACTTAGAACTGTACTTCCAGTTGAAAATATTCAAGCCCTCGTTGCTTACTTGTAGCAGAGTTTTGTCTCTCTGCAGCCTCTCCTCCAGACTTCCTTGTGGAAGATCTCGTGCTGCTTGTAGCTCTTCATTCCAGTCTGGAGCCTAAATGCAATGCAGACATAAAGCTTACTTACATTGTTCAATGCAGTATAACTGCAGCACACTGTTCTGTTGTAAATAACCTGTGCTGCTGCCTGTTCCTCCACCCCCAATCTACTGAAGGTGTTTTTATGAGCACGAGAAGAGCAAGAAGGTCCAAGCCAGCTCATTGTGTAGTAGGGAGTGGGCACCACCTCCACTGGTGGCTGGGGTGGCCTAATGGAGGGAAGATAAGTAAGAAGACACACTTATATCTATTTATAACTCTTCCCAAATACACAGATTTTCAAACTTGTTTACCTGTTTTTGAGTGTGGTGAAGGTTTGTTTGAATGCAGGGCTGATGTGACACAGCAAGTCAGTGAAACAGTGACAAACAGGCGAAGACTGAGCAGGACGAGGATCAAATGCATCTTCTGTAGACCTGGTGAAAAAAATAATCTTGGGTCATATAAGTTGTCACTTATTCATCAGATTTAGTCGTTCCACAAAATGCCACAAATATGTTCACCTGTTGAGGAAGAACCCTTTAGGACAGGATGTGATGTCACAGCGTCGTCCCTCTGCCGTCACCACAGTGATGTACAAGAAGTCCCCCTGCAGCTTCCTGTGTCCTGGAGGAGGGTTCCAGCAGCTGAGAGCCAAGTCCTTCAGGTAACTGTGAGCCTGATAAGACAAACACAAAGAACGCTGGAGTCAGTTTGTATGTTGTGAACTAGCTGAAAGGCCCACCAGACTCTGGCTATTAACCCACCTCTGGTTGAGAACTGTGTGGCAGCAGGGCCATGAGGGGTCTCTCTGACGAACTGGGGAGGAGGTACTCAGGTGGAGATTCGTCCTGGTTGGTCGATTCTGCTTTTGCATTACTTAAAGAGCGCTTCAGGCTCTTTCCATTTGATAAACTATGCTCTGCATCAAGAAAGAGATTATTTTAAATGAGTTTGTGCTTGTCTGCTGCCCTTCTGTCTCAATGAACAGCTTATGTGTTTACCAGGTGTTTGTGTGTGTGTGAGGGTCTCCAGTATGCTCGGTGACCGTCCTTCTCTCAGTGCGTCCTGAGGTCCGGACGCTCTCAGCAGCTCCATGACACGAGCCAGGTGGAGCCTTGCTGAGTTGGACGTGTAAGGCTCTGGAACGACATACATCGGTTAACAAGAAATTCAGAAATGACCTTCTTCATGAAAGTCACAGTAATGTGGGAAAGGTCTAATGAACTTGCGAAATGAACTGAGCTGTTTACTCGGAATGTGCAGGACTAACACTTCAGCATGTAACCATCCACTTACTGTGACCATCACATTAGTTAAGGTGGTTTATATTTAAACTTTTGACAAGAAAAGGTCAAGTGGCCCTTTTGAATTTAATTGATTTAACAGTTTTAATCTGAATGATTTATAATGTCTTGAACAAGTCTTCACCCCCTTGAACTTTTGCACATTTTCTCTCGTTAAGTCATATATAGACAACAGCATATATGCCATCAAATATAAAAACAAAAGTACTGTTCAGTGCTTATTAAGATGTTTCCAATCAGGAGAATAAGGTTTCTTTCTAGGCATCAGCCTTGTGAAAACAACAAAAGCTTTAACTTTTGTTTTTTAACCCAAACCACTAGTCAACAAAATAAAAATACAGTAATTAAGCATACAATCTCAAAGGATTTTCCTGGGATTTTGTGCGATATATCAATACGAAAGCACATAATGCGAAGTGTAAGAAAAGTGATACATGGCTTTCAACATTTTGTTTTTACTGTGGCATGCATTTCATTTTTTCTTCCAGTATTGCCAAGTATTTAGCTCCATTAATCTTACAATCAACTCTGACCAGCTTCCCTGTTTATGCTTGAAAAAACCCTCCCCACATCATGATGTTGCCACCACTATCTTTCACAATGGGTAAGGTGTGTTCAAGTGATGTGCAGTGTTAGTTTTCTGCCACACACTGTTTTGCATTTAGGCCAAAAAGTTCTGATTTCATCTGACCAGAGCACCTTCCTCCACATGTTTGCTGTGACCCCTACATGGTTTATGGAGAACTGAAAACAAACTTTCATATGGCTTTCCTTCAACAACAGCTTTCTGTTCTGCCACTCTTCCAAAAAGGCCAGATTTGTGAAGTGCACAACTTTTAATAGTGGTCCTGTGAACAGATTCTCCCACCTGGGCTGTGCATCTCTCATGCATTATTCAGGTGCTTCTTGGTTTAGTGATCTCCTTGCAGCTTATGACGTTCTGCTGTCAATGTAGGTGGACAGCCAGGTTTTGGTGGGTTTGAAGTTGAGTCACACTCTTTCCATTTTGAAGTAACAAACTGAACAATGCTCTGTGAGATATTTAAAGCTTGGGGCATTGCTTTAGAACCTGACCCTGCTTTAAACTTCATACCAACTTTATCCTGATGCTGCTTTAATGATCTGTAACAAACCTTCACAGAGCAGCTGTATTTATACTGAGATGAAATGAGACAAAGGTGGACTCTATAGTAACTTCTGAAGGCAGTTGATTTAGTTGAATTTTGGTCAAAGGAGGAGATAGAAGCCACTGACATCAAGACTCAAAAGCTCCTTACAATGCATGGAGGGTTTCACCCCAAGTCCAGCACTCTTAGACTTTACACTAAGAGAAAGGAGGGAGGCAGAGGATTAGTGAGCGTCCGAACCACTATACAGAATGAAACAACTATAAGATCCTGCAGTACAGGAGGATAGCCCCTGAAGATGAACTGACGAGTGAATGCCTCAGGCAGCAGGAGAAACTCAGTGTAGAAGAGGTGGAACAAGAGGAGCAATCATGGGAAGATAAGCCCCTGGATGGCATTTACCACCAGCACATTGAGGAAGTGGCTGATATCAACAAATCTTTACCAGTGACTAGAAAGGGCTGGACTGAAGGACAGCACAGAGGCACAACATGGCAGGATAAGAACAGGCCCTCAGCACAAGAGCAATAGAGGCTGGGGTTTACCATACCAGACAAGACATAAGATGCAGGCTGTGCAAAGATGCCCCTGAGACAGTCAAACACATAATAGCAGGATGCAAGATCCAGGCAGGCAAAACATAGAACGCCATAACCAAGGGGCTGGAATAATATTTAGGAACATCTGTGCAAAATATGGACTGGAGGTCTCATAGTCAAAGCGGGAGACTCCACCAAGGGAGGTGGAGAATGGAAGGGCTTAGATACCGTGGGACATCCAGATCCAGACCGACAAACAGGTGATGGCTAACCAACCAGACATTGTGGTGGTCGCCAAGCAAGAGAAGGCAGTGGTGGTTAGATGTAACAATCTCAAGTGACTGTAACATCAGGAAGAAGGTGCATGAGAAGCACGAGAAATACCAAGAGCTGAAAGAGGAAAGAGACACAAGCATACAAAACAAAGCTGCCAAAACAAAGTGCTACCTTCCACCAGGCGAATGATGGCTCCTGCTTTGAGGCCCTTGAGGCTTTGCAGATCAGCATGGGCATCCAAAGTTGAACCAGCTAGTGCTAAAGACAGGTTTGAGCGTGGACACACCTCATTCCTCGAAAGCAGGGTGACTAGTGCATCTTGAACAAGCCAAAAACCATGAACCTGTAAAATTCACAATAAAAACACAACTCATGTCAATTTTAGATGCTTAAAGTATGTTTGGATAGCTGCTGGTGAGGGGGTGAGAACTGCATTTTGTTGCTGCTTGGTTTCATACCTGCAGTTCAAATGGCTCCACTCCTGCTCCCTGGATCTTCACAGGAAATGAAGTGCTTTCATCTTGCTTACTCACAGCATCATCTCCACCGGGCACGACGACTGCCTCTGTGTGAGAGAAATATGAGACAAACCAAACTGAGAATAAGTGTAAAGATCAGGGAAAGATGAGCAGATAATGTGGGTTATCTTCCTGCCCTCTACCTATCACATCCTTAAGTAGTTTCCAGATCTATGTGACCCTGAAAATGTCTGGTTAACTGAATCAAAGAACAAACAGGTTATTGTATAAATGTGACACAAAAAAATGATTTCTGCTAAAACTCTTAAAATTTTTTATTTGAGCTCATTTGAGATTTTGTCTGTGAGAGTGCCTCAGGGAAATCCTTGTAAAAAAAAAAAAAAAAAGTGAAAATGCTAAGAAAATGAAAGTGGGGTGTGGCTACAGTTTTACACACAGTGAAGTGGAGGCAGAACTGGAGGAAGAGCAGGACTCAGCGTGTTCCACAAACTGCAGTGTGACTAACAGAACCTGTTGCATTTGCCTACTGGCCTTCATGTCATCTCCAGGTAAAAGGACAACCACACCCAGCACTGGCATGGGGAGACAGCAGTGTTGACTAATTAACCAAAAGTTTGTTTAAAGCCGTGTGCACATTATACAACAACTTTCATCTGTCTAAACTGATCTTATGTTGGTGTCTGTAGATCCTCAGTTCACGCTGTTAGTCTGGCAATATTATTTTTATTGGAAAACACCTAAAGAGTCAAACTCTTTGCTATTGGCTATAAGAATGCCCCTCCTCTCTGGAAGACAGAAGACATAATTTATTCTCTATTGGAGCTGCAGTTTTATTGCAATAGAAAACAGTATAACTTTTGGGAAACACCTTAATGGTCTGCATCTGCCAGGCAAATATTTTTTATACATAGGTCGAAAATTGGAACAGATCATGTGTCTTTGTGACAAGCTGCTAATAACAAAGTGCCTACAATTTCATTTAAGTGTTTCTTTACAGAAAAGTATGTTGTGCATGCACAAAACACTTGTTGAGTAAGGGTCATGTTTTTATTTATAGGTCAGAATTAGGGTATAGTTTGGACTGAAGTAAAAATTACTGCAAATCAAGCACTGTTCAGAAAAATAAAATAAAAAAAACTTCAGAAATCCTAAAGATTCATAGCTCAAGACTACAATAAAGCATAAAAATGAAAAGAGGATCAATATTTTCTTAGTGATGCAAGTCATATTGTATTAAAATATATTTTTAAGCTTCAAAATGGCTTGAAATGTGGGTAAAATTGTGGCCTTGTAGTTTCTTATTTTATGGAGGAAACAAAATAAACTCAGGTTTATCTTATCTGGAGATGAGCCAACACGCACTACAACTTAAATCTGGATTTCAGTTTTGCAGAAGGGAAGTGGCAAACTTTAAGAAATGTAAAATGTTCACTGCAGTGTGACTAGCAAAAACATATACTCTCTGAATGTAATAAAGTGTCGTAACTATGCATTTACAATGTTTTACAACAGGCCATGTGTCTGCACGTGTAAACAGTTTATAAAAGTTACAGAATGCACAGCAGATTCTCTAAGAGGAAAGTTTGCACCAGCCATGTTGGAGCAGCAGTCTTCTGCCAAATCTCCCACCCTCCTACACATTCTTCAGAGTGAAGAAGCCATCAGAACAAAAAGAGAGAGGAAATCATTTGATTATAATGGTTACTCACCAGTTTTAACTTGATTTCTTCCTCCTCCTCTCCTCACTTTGTCCTTCATGGCTGTGAGTTTACTTCTTGAGCTGGCTTTACCAAGTCTTGCCTCAAACTGCTGGAGCAGAGAGGAAAAAAGAGGGGTGGAGGTGTGTGGCTGGACTGTTTAGAGGCCCAGCAGTAAGACAAAGTAAACCACTGACTGCTCAGAGCTGTGACTCCTGCCCCTTTACAAGGCAAACTTAACTTATCTGTTCCCACTGTGCAAAAAAATAAAGCCACACCCTCTTGTTGCTCCACACAGTCCGCCTCAGAAACTTTGTTGAACTGGGTGTGTCTTTGTTGTAAGCTTCACTCACTCTTCCTCCCCCAGGCATGTTTCACTCCTCTGTAAAAGCCTCAAAGCAGAAGCAAAGAAGCAGTGTTTTGGAACTGCTTTGAGGATCAGGCATTTCATGTTGCAGGATGCAACTGTCTTAGCAGCACATTTTCTTCTACTCCATGAGGAAATTGTTTGTTTGTTTGTTTGTTTTTTGAAAGTGCAGCCAGTTTACCCATTTAATAATAAAGGTGAAGTCAGAGTTAGCAGAAATTAGTTCAACTTCCACAAATGGGTGTGTTCAACACATACCTGGGGATACTTCAGTTCAAACAGAGGATTTCATGGGTCAAACAGGTGACTTGGTTGGTATCAATGGAATGTAGTTAAATAAACCTGAATGAGTGTTAGGTCCATGTTATCTTTTACTAGAAAGACAGGAAAGTCAAGCAGGGTGAATGCTGCAAAGTTTAATAATCTTTTTGACTTTCATAACATCCAGTGTGTAGAATGTAAATGAGTGTGCAAATAATGCACAATCTTTGAATGTGCATGTCGCATTTAAAACTATTTGTACACACATGTATATATATATATATATTTTTTTTTTAATTATTTTTTTTTATTTCTTTTACAGTCTGCACAGTAAAAACTGCTTTTCATGACGTCAGTTTTACATTTGTGGGGCGGACCACAGTGGTGTGTTCATGTTACCTTCGTTTCTTCCTTGTACATTTAATCTTTGAAAATACCAATTCGCTGGCAGTATAGTCAATGTTTTCGCATGCCTGTTTTAAATTTTAATTTAATAACAATAGTTATTATATATGCTTGATTTTCGTTGTCTTTAGGAAAACGAGTTTAGTTAAATAAAGCATTTTCCCCGGAAGAATAGTTTTGCCTGACCGTTTGCTGATCCTTTATTTTCCGAGGACTCTTGAATCCGTCTTGATAGCGTCGTTTGACTCAGGAGGCTGTCCTTTGGTAGCAAACTTAGCTAAAGCTAGCTAAACAACAAATATAAACCATTTGCTTTAAGTCAACGAGAAGCCGTCGGTGAGTTTTTAACAACTGTTTAAAAATGGCGATGTGAGGATAACGGATCTACAGGATGTAGTGTCCCTGTCAGCTTACCGTAACTCAGCTAGCATGATAGTTATCATCAAAACATCGTTGCTTCACTGATTGAGGCAGTTTGTTGTTGTTTTTTTTATTTGTTTTTTTTTCTGTTTAAAACAAACAAAAAAAACCATCTCATCAGAAAGTAACCGTAAGAATAGCTACTTTTACTTTTGTTCTTATTTCCCATCACCTGCAATGCATTTTTACAGGACTAGATATTTTAGAGGTTATGTATTACGGTAATGGTTTATGCTAGTTTCTTTTCCTCGGTTGGTGTAGGTTCTGTGACTGCGCCCCAGCCGTCAGCTGAGAGCCCAGTATCGGGCTAATGTCATCCAGTCAGGGTGACGAGGGGGCTCCATCACAGGCTGCCCCGAACAACACCACCCAGGACCCGTTTGACAACTCCGCTCAGACCGCAGAGACATGCAGCACACCTGAGGCACAGGTGAGGAGGGTTCACGTGCGATTGTGATGCTGACGTTGTTTTTTTTTTTTTTAAACTTGGGCTTGTTCTTCCCGGTTTCTCTTTGTAGCATGGTAAGTTAATATGTATGCTTTATTTCTGTGTTTTTATTTTGTTGACTAGTGGTTTGGGTTTAAAAAAAAGCTTTTGTTGTCTTCACAAGGCTGATGCCCAGAAAGAAACCTTGTTCTCCTGATTGGAAACATCTTAGTAAGCACTGAACAGTACTTTTATATTCGATGGCACATATGCTGTTGTCTATATATGACTTAACAAGAACGTGTTCTGAAAGTCATCAAAGTTCATGCTCAGTAATCCAGGTAATCCAACAATGTTCAGTCAGGTCATCTGGACAGTCACTTTTTTTGTTGAGAGATGTTTCGCCCTCCATCCGAAGGGTTTTATTAATCTGAGAAGTTGCATAACAAACTGGTTGTTCCACTGCTTGGTGGAAAATAGTTTTGACTTCTCAGATTGATGAAGCCCTTTGGATGGAGGGTGAAACATCTCTCAACAAAAAAAAAGAACTGTCCAGATGACCTGAATGAACATTGTTGGTGTTCTGAAAGTGATTATATGGCTATTTGAAAAAATATATTTATTGTTGTTATGTATATTTTACTGTAATTGGCACTGTCATTAGAACATAAGCCAATTTACTTTCCATGAATTGCATTTGACGTTTTTGAGAATCTTCACCAGCATTTGACATTTTTATTCAGACTAACTTTTAGTTAGCTTATTTTATTTGTTGTTTTTATCTCAATTCTTACATCTTTAATATCTATGTACTATTTTTATTTATGTAGTTTTTATTGTGTTTGATGAAGCACTTTGTGATTTTCACCTGTGAAAAATACTAATGTAATATATTGATCTAAATAAACTATCACGTGACAGTATCTCACGCAGGTAGCTGATTTGTGATGACTTATTCTTAGCACTAATTGTAAGATATAGTTTCAATTATCTAAAATCTAAAATTAGCAAACTTCTCTGAAATGCATTGAGTTAAAAGGGAATTTTTGAACAACAGTTTTGGTCTTTACTGTCTATTCTTGAAGCTTTAATAAAATAAAGCAAACGCTGTAAGGTAGCAGTCTGCAGTATTCTGTGATGGACTTGTCCAGTGTACCCCGTCTCTCACACAGTGACTATTGCATATGGGCACCAGTGACCTCCGCAACCCAAAAAGGAAGAAGCGGGTAAAGATAACTGATGGATGGATTGATGTAAAGTAGCGAGCCTTAATTAGAACTTAGCTGCTTTGACTTGATTTGCTGAGATTATAACAGCAAGTGTGTCCCATCAGTGTCAGTCAGCACTTTAAATTTTTTTTACTAACTCTCACCTGTGAGCCCAGGTTTTGTATCTTTATTAATTTGGACTGATTGTTATATATATATATATATATTTTTTTAAATAATTTGTTTAGCTGTAAAATCAAAGAGGCTCTGTTTGGGGGAGAAAACAAGATAGTTGAATTTAAGTCATTTGATGATATTATGCTTTGTAATGTAGCTTTGTTTAAATCTAGCCCCTTGTAAATCTTATTAAAAGGTAAAAAGTACAACGTGTTTGTTTTTGCTCTGCTATTCTGGCCTAAAAATAGATTCAGCATTCTCTGTTTACTGCATAACGAACGGATAAAGTAGAAATGCTGAGCTTGTGTCTGGGCTATATATGGGGCATCATATTCTGTCTTACAGTTTTGACACCTGGTAAACTTTTAGATTTAGTGACTGTTTATGAGCGACAACAAACTCGATGTGTGGCGTGACTTTTTTTAGTCTTACAAAAGTTGCAAACACAATTAGTATTTGCTGTTACTTTTAGCCTGGTAAACGCATCAAATGCATAAAAACATAATTTCCACAGCAGTGAACAAGATTTATTTCTGATGAAATAAGTTTGAATTATATTCCTGCTTCTTCTCAATCATATTAAAAGTGTGTTCACCTGCTTTAGTTACATTGCAGTGCGTTTGGCATAGCTAATTTGGCAGTTGTGTCCTGGGGGTGGGTGTTGTGCCAAGCAGTGGCAGACTCAGCATGCTAAAACAGAAGACATATTACGGGTTGCATTGTTTGTTGATAAGAAATATGGAAATTGTTTAGCTATTTTAGTGTTGACAAAAGAGACGAGACAAAGCTTGTAGAGGAGAAAAGAATAAAACGAGGCTTTGTTTGTCTTGCTGAGAAGAGGCTGGATCTTTTGTTTCACAACTGCCCTTTGCTTTGTTTGTTGGATAGGATTTTAGCAGAAGGACACAAACAGTGTTCAGCTACTGTCCACCATTTAGAACTGCTGAGTTCTTTAGTGAGCTGCTTAGGAGCAAAAAAAAACATAAAGTAGGCATTTATTTTTAACTTATCTAATGAGCAGCTTGGATGAAGAGGACATATTGATTTCAAATATTGATTTTGTTGCCATTTTGTTTTGTTTTTTTTTCCTCAGGTTTCGCCTGTGTCGGGCGAGGCTTCTCCTTCCTCCACGTTCTCTTTTGAGATGGTTGACATGGAATCCGTTCCACCTCCTTACCAAGAAGTGCAGCCTCACTGGTTCTTCTGTCGTCGAGCTGATGACAAAACCTCCTGGCTTCCCTTCAGCAGAGAGGACTCTGACAAGCTAGAGAATGCTTTAAACTCTGGTGAGAATGAACAAGTATGTCAGATGTACAATTAATGTTTTACATGTTTTACATGCACTTCATCATTACAGATACTATCATTACTTGTTGCTGTTAAAGATGATGAGTTAAGGTGTATTAAACAAGTTAGAAAAAAAAATATATATAACTTATCTTTGAAAGGTATTGAAAACAATACTGTCATTAGTCTTGAAAGTCAACATGCATGCCTCCCCTACCCCCTTAGGGGATTTAACTCAACCTGTCAGGACCTGATCCTGTCAGGTGAACTTCAGTTTTATGAATCCCTCTGCAACTCATATTGAAAGTTTTTAGAGTTTTGTGGTTTTACATGTTCAGAGGTCATCCTCCGATGTTTTGGACTTTGTATTGTTTATTGTGTCATCTTTATCAACTTCTTTGTTGAAATTGATTGCCTTAAGACCTGAAGCCTATCTTTTTAAGGAGTCTGTCAATAGCAAAATGAGTGAGACACAAACAAGGACTGGTTCTCGAGTTGGCTGACTCATTTCTGAACAATTTGTGGTCATATTTAGCTGTTTTAGTGCAAGGTAAATGCACTCAGAGCCGTTATACTTTTAAGACCTGCTATTTAACCTTTGTCTTCAAAACAAGCCGGATGGCAACTCTCTACTGTAGTCTGATGGATACAGGGATTTTATTAAAAGCATTATAATTTGCCAAATCTCCAAAAGAGTTTTCCATTTCTGTTTTGTTCATCCTAGTAAGAACGTAAGACCAAGGATGACAGGAATATTTTTCAATCTTGTGTGTATTTTGTTCCTCATATTGCACAGATTAATTTGGCATATGTAGAACGACAAACTGTTCATTAATGATGATTTATGGAAAAGTGCTGAGTCAGCGCTGTTGTTTCCACATGAAGAACTTTTATCTGTTTTTAATGCAGTGCAGAGTTTTCAACTTTGTCCTTTGTGCTCCCATCTCTGGAATATATTAGTCATTTAATGACTGCACATGATGAAATCACATTCTTTTTTTTTGTAGAAATTCACAATGTGAAATGCTGAAGTTAAATCATATATTTTCAGTGTTTTCCTCACTTGTTTTGCAAATAACGTTTATTCTTTTTATATTTTTATTCAAGCTTTGCACACATTTTAAAATGCTGTCATGTCTGTAAACTTTTTATTTTCATGTCAACTCAAGTTTTTTTTTTAGCACTTTGATCACTATTTTTACCAGGTGCTATATAAAATATAAAATTCGTAATTACTGAATCTGATCTTTGGTATTCAGTGTATATTTTACAAATAAAACAAAATGTAAAATGCAAAAACTGCTTTCACAACAAAAGCCAAGATTTCCTGCTCTATTAAGACTTAAAACGAGTAAAAAAAAAAATCTAAATGAGCCAAGTTTTTTTTTTTAATTGGAAAAACAATTAAAAGATTAGGAAAAAAAGAGTGGAAAAAATATTACTGCAAAGTAACTTTTTTGTTGCATTTTATGGATAAGTTTAGCTTTAAAAATAATGTATCACATGTCTTAGTACTATTTTTAATATACTTTGAGTTTGGCAGTTTTACATTTAATAGCATCACAGAAATATCTTGGTTATTTAATAAGATAAATGATTTTATATTTTCCTTCAACATATTCAGCAGATTTCCAGTATTTTAAACTATGTTTTCAGATTAGATCACCAGACTATTCTTCCCCTCTTACAGAGTTTTAGATTTGACAATTAGACGATTGTTCATTTTTCTGTTTGCAGTAAGTAATGAGGAGGAGGATGTGGTGGTTGCTGTGGATGGGGAGCGATATGATGTGCATGTTAAGAAAAGGAAGCGTTACGCTGTGTACTGGGAACAGACTCCAACTGAGGTCCGCCGCTGCACCTGGTTCTACAAAGGAGATAAGGACACCAGATTTGTGCCTTATCCTGAAGATTTCAGCACAAGTCTGGAGGTAGTTTCATACTGATGCTCTGCTTTTATGTCACACTACTTCTTTCTCTAAATTACTGGTTTCTTATTACTTTATTTTCTTTTTAACGCCTGTTTCATTGAGACTGTTTTAAACATGGTATTGCTTCTCACTTGTGTTCTGATTCCAGGAAGCCTACATGATAGCTGTGACTTTGGATGAATGGAAACAGAAACTAGACTTTCCCACAGGAGAGACTGTCATTTTACACAATCCTAAGGTGAGATGAGCAAATAAAGCTTTGTGCACGACTCATTGGAAAAGTAACCGCTTAGTTCCTTTCTCATAAGATTATTTTTCATCCACTCCATCCTCAGCTTATAATGCAGTATCAGCCAATAGGCTTGCAGGAAGATTGGGTTTCCTCCCCCTCAGAGCAGACACGACCTCGCACAGTCAAGAGGGGAGTTGATAACATCTTTGTAGAAATACCTGATGGTATGTGCACTTTTTTCACTTCAAGATAATAATAGATAATTATAGTAAAGAAAATATACCCAGTTAACAATCTGAAGTCATAGTGTACATTTGTTTTAGGTGAACCAGAGAATGTGGACCACCTTGTTTTTATGGTGCATGGCATTGGACCTGCATGTGATTTGCGCTTCAGATCTATTATACAGTGTGGTAAGTGTGTGAGTGTGTATGGTTATGTATAAATGCAACTATGTGAATTAATTGGTTCTTTTTTTGTTTGTTTGTCTTCAGTAAATGACTTCAGGAGTGCTTCATTGTCCCTCCTGACCACACATTACAAGTGGGCTCAGCAAGATGGACAGGTGGGTCGAGTGGAGTTCCTCCCTGTTAACTGGCACAGCGCTCTGCATGGAGATGCTACTGGTGTGGATGAGTAAGTATGACAAGACTCGCAGCCTATATTTCTACTTTTTATCACCTGATAAAAATAATATGAAATACACTCTTCAACTCTCGTGTCTTTTGTTTTCTTTCTGATTTTGTTAATCTTACCCCACCAAATTTCAGGGACATACAGAGGATCACTCTACCTAGCATCAGCAGGATGAGGCATTTCACCAACGACACGCTGTTGGACCTATTTTTCTACAACAGTCCCACCTACTGTCAGACCATAGTGGATACGGTGTCCTCAGAAATCAACAAGCTGCACGCCCTCTTTAAGCAGCGACACCCAGAGTTCCATGGGGCAGTTTCTGTGGCAGGACACAGCCTGGGTTAGAGCTGTGCAAACTCAGAAACACATTCACGTCAATAGAACAGTAACATGCAGAGTTTAAATGCTTGTTTTTTGTCTCCTGTTACTCAGGTTCTTTGATCCTGTTTGATCTGTTAACCAATCAGAGGAACGGATCCAGATCAAGAGAGGAGGTACAACATGTCATACACACTAAATGACATCATCCCTTTTTTATACTTTTATATTTAATAATAATTCTGTACCTTTTTATGGCTTAGGTACCTTCTAAAGAACCTTCTAGTAGGAACAGTTACACGTTGGAGCAGATACTGGCCAGACTGGGGCTTCAGCAATACCTGAGTACTCTGCAGGCAGAAAACCTTGACCTGGAATCACTGGTATCACATGCACAACCTATAATAGTTTACATATTATTATTACAAATTACATTTTGTGCTGTGTAGTGGAAATTGAATGGTGTAGAAACCAGGGTTTTGTATAATGGACATAGTATGAATAGTTGTTTATTTCCCTTTTAGGCTCTCTGCGAAGACAGTGACCTTCGAGATATAGGAATCCCACTTGGACCCCGGAAAAAGATCTTGAACTACATCAAGAGAAAATGGCTTCCTGAGGTCAGCTTTAACTTAAAGGTTTTCTTTCCAAGCGTTATTGTAATATATCATTTCAACAGTCATTAAATAACTTTACATTTGTTCTAAACAGGACTGTAAAGTACATGAAGGACTGGAGTCTCAAGTTCTACCTGATATGACAAGTGATGATAACCAGTCTTCAGGATCAACATCCCCGCAGTCCCACTTCCACAGAGCGCAGTCTGTCACCAGTGCAGTGGACTATGAATACTTTGATGTTGGCATTGGACAGGTAACGCACGCCTCCAAAAGTACAATATGATGATTTGTGTTTGGGAGGTGAAGCTTTAGTACGTCACTATTCCTGCTTCTCCACTCCCTCTGCTTGCCTGGACAGACCAGTGGAGGCATAGCCAAGGGACAGGTGTGTCTCATGTGGTGCCCACTTTTTCTCAGGTCTTGTCCCTTTCACTTTGACCTGAGTTTATTTGTGCATATGGTGCAGTCTGCTCAGAGAGCTCTCTTGGCAAATGAACTGAAGTGATAACTTTCTGAACAGAATACTTTTCAGTACTTCCTCACCTTCTGTCTCGTTTAAAACTAAGCTGTACAACCCAAAGCCACACTCATTAACTGAGCTCATACATTTGTATCTGTCCTGCATGGGTGGTCATCTCTCCTTTCTCCTCACTTGTATCACTCAAGAACAAATGAGTCCATCTGTCTTAATGGATGTGCGTGTTTTCTATGTGCTCATAAACATACAGCTATTATTACCACACTTTACCAAATACGACAGCACACATTTTTGATTATTACTTTCTTCCCACAGGTGTCCATTGATTACCCTCAGCTAGCATTTCACCCACAGACATTTTTTGCTTTTGGCTCTCCTATTGGAATGTTTCTGACTGTACGAGGACTTAAACGCATCGATCCAAACTACTCCTTCCCAACCTGCAAATGCTTTTACAACATCTACCATCCAGTGAGTAATCACTCAACATTACTTAATGCATCTCTTGGTTCATATGGACCTCTTTTATTACTGCTTGAATTACTTGTTGCATCCTGTGTATGCTAAACCAAGTTGTGCCATTAAATAATACTGTTTCAAGATGTTATTTGTTATTGCTTTAATCTCTGTTTAGTATGATCCTGTTGCCTATCGGATAGAGCCGATGATTGTTTCAGAAGTGGATGTAGAGCCAATGCTAATACCGCACCACAAAGGCCGAAAGAGGATGCATCTGGGTTTGTTTTTCTTTGTTTGACTTGGTTCAAGAATACTGTTGTAGGATGTTTCGTTTGATATTCACCATTAACTTTTTTTTTTCTTGTAGAATTAAAAGATAGCTTGACCCGGATGAGTATGGATTTGAAAAACAATGTATTGGGATCCTTACGCACAGCATGGCAGTCCTTTACTAGACTTCCAGTTGCTGCACTGCCCCCAGCAGAAGAAGGCGAAACTACACATAAGACAAACAAACGGGATCAGGAGGCACAAGGTAGGAAAGGTCTTTTTACGATATTTATCTGTTTATTCTTGGGTGGTGCTTGTTTGTGTTAAGAGAATGTTCAAAGGAGTTAGTCTAACCCAGTTTCCTTGCATTCCTCTTATTCCTCTCACCTCTTGCATGTTGCTACCTCCTACTTCCTTTCCGGTCATTCTTACTGCTTCCCTCACCTCTTGCCAATTTACCTTGAACTTTAGCATCAGCGGCAGATACTGCTGCTGCTAAGAGGGAGGACAAAAGTTCTGATTTTTGGGCTAAAATACTGGAGTGGCCCAAAGCCCTTCATAATCATTATTTAAAAGGTAAGCAAAGATAGAGGTTGGACTGAAATGAATTAAACAAACAAGTAAAATATGTAATTTTCTTAAATGTAATTTATAGTTTTATAACCCAGTTTATTGAAAGTATTCTCAGTGAATCCACACAGATTTTGTGACGGTCTTGAGTTAATTGTAATCCATCTTTTAGTTTGCTACATTTTAACTGAAGAAAAATGGATAATAATTATAATAATAATCAGACAAAAAAAAATAGAATACCATGTTTATAACAGTTGGTTATCCTGCAATGGTTTCTTTGTTTTTTCCTCTACACTGATTTACTTTGGCAGATTCTCAGAGCAAATTTTATGTAATGAGTGTCATTCCTGCCTCGGGCTCTCACAGCTTTTCTCTCCACCTTTCCCCATGCCTCGCACTATTACCACCTGCTGAATATTTAACCCTTTTAACTGATTTACCCTCAGGCCCCCTTCCTCCCTGTCCTGCTGCAAGTTCTTGTCAGATGAATTCACTGAACCCTCCACTGATCGTCAACTTCTTAAAAACCACTTGGGCTTCTGGCCTAAGGCACATTTTTGTTTGAGCTGAGCAAAATCCGCCAGCGGGCCATTGTGTGTTAGAAGTAATTTACCTGTAGGCAAAATGTTAGTGATGTACTTGGCTAAAAAAAATCACTTATCATAACTACATGTTTGTGCGTATCCTGTAACTTTATTACAAAATCTGTCAAGTTATTAAATTGCTTGAAGTGTACAAAGTTCTGAGAAAAGATTGTTCAGTATGTGTCACAGGATGTCTATGGTTTTTCTACTTTAAAAAAAATAAAAATTTAACTGTCCCATAAGCAAGACTTAATGTTCTCATTTACAAATGTTTCATAATCCCCTTTAATTCAAATTCATGAATTTTAATCTTTTCTTGTTAGAATTAGAAATCACTACTTCCACTACATCTGATATCAGATAAGAGATTGCTCTTTAGGACAGCAAAGTAGATTTTTTTAACCCACAAACAAGTGTTTCATCGTAAACCCAGATGATTGATAATTCTTTGCACTTGTCATGTACCTTTGGACTTCAAGTCAACATTTGTTAAATCAAAATAATTACAAACTTTTAAAATCTGCTCTAGCTTTTTCCAGATTGACTGTTAGGTTTACTTCCTGGATTCATATGGATGATTACTAGAACCAAAACTTCACCCATAATCCATGTGTATGTGCACGCAAATACACATACACATGAAGTTAATACCAACACTAGCACAGGAATATTACAATACAGTTTATCTTAAAATAATTGTTTTGTTGCCAGCAGAAGATTTAAACCTGATTTGAATGGTTATCATTGGAAATAGCCGCCGCTCTCTTCCTTCTTTATCGTTATTTGTTTGTAGTTGTTTTTTGTCACCAAATAGCTGCTGCTGGTCATTGTTTGGTTTGTCACTGATTTTATTTTCTGCAGCAGCAGATGTGGAGCCTGAGTCCCCAATGTCTGCAGAGCAGATGGAGCAAGCTGAAATTAAAATGGGGATGCTGAATGGAGGGCGGCGGATCGACTACGTGCTTCAGGAAAAACCCATTGAGAGCTTCAACGAGTACTTGTTTGCCATCCAGTCTCATCTTTGCTACTGGTGAGTTATTCCTATCCATCAAGAGTTATTTTATTTATTTATGTTTTTGTTGTATTTCGTTTTGTTTTAACAAATTGTTTGTCTGTTAGGGAATCTGAGGACACAGCTCTGCTGCTGCTGAAGGAAATTTATGACAAGCTTGGTGTGGCTTTGGAACAGCCACAGCAGTATTAAACTTTGAATGTACATTTGCTTTCATGACAATAATCTGAAAATGAAGGATGTCTGGCAGAGCCAGAGCTGGGACAATCTTCTCCTGAATGCCTTACTCTCTGTGTGTCACTGACTGCCACAACCCCTGCTCCTTTCACACAGGACACCTTTATTTTTAGTCAGGTGATCTTGACTCACGCACGTTTGTTAAACTTAATTTAGCGAAGCAGTGACTTTTTGCAGTTTCCTGTTTACCCACTGTTGAAAGAAGTTTTGATCATTTTTCAAGGTCCAATCTAACATGACAGTTAAACTCATTGCACTTTGTTGATTCATGATTTTGCTTTAATTTGCACTTTCACCCTCAATGAGTTTAAGTTGGGGGGGGGGGGGGGGACACAAAAGATTGTAATTATTGCTCATTATGGTTTCGTAGGAAAATGCACTGCACGTCACACTGAAATAATTTTCAGTTGGCATTTCTTTGCATCTCAGGAAAAATAAAGGTTTAAATTTACAATCTGATGGGGAAAAATCTTTCAAGTTTACAATTATTGTAACAAAGTAAATTCTCCATTTACAGTAAGAACTAGTCAAAGTTGTTTTTTTTTCTAATAAGAAAATGAAGGTTGAAATGTCTTGTTACAAGTGTAAATGAAGGCGGATACGTTTCTTCTCCTCTTGCACTGAAGCAACTTAATAACCAAAGCTGCCACTCATATATTTGTGCAATAATATATTAATGTATCTTTTTCTCCTTTCATTTCACATAGTCCTTAGTGTTAATAAATGTGGTCTTCACTTTGCCTTCTAATCACAGCTCTATGTAATTTGTAAAATGTGTGTTCTGTTGGTCATATATTGAATAAAGAAGTCTGATCGACTGGTCACAGCAGAAGTAAAGAAATGTTAACAAGCAGCATAGTTGTCAATATTGTGTGTATAGTATGTTAACTTTTTTTGCTTAAGTTTATGCCGTTTTTCATTTGCCACATCATAATCGTTTCTCTTGTTCTTTTGTTTTGATATATAGTCACAAATGTATATATGTATATATATATTTATGTATATGTATATATATATATATAT